TCTGATTAGATTCTCCATCATAGGTTCAGTTCTAGGAGAAGAGAAGAGAGGTGGAGGACTACTGGACTGAGGAGAGGGACTTAAACCCTGTCTAGGAGGAAGAGGTGATGAGACTGGTAGAGGAATAGGTGATTGAGTAGGAGTGGGGTGAGAAGGTGTAGATCCTGGAGAGATGGTGCTGTGAAGTGGAGAAGTGGATGCATCAGGGAATGGTATATCTGAAGAAGGCAGGTGAGCTGCAGGTAGGGTAGGTGTAGAAGAGGAGTGTGAAATAGAAGCAAATGGATAGAATTCCTTATGAAAAGCTACATCCCTGGAAATAAAAGTTCTCATAGTCTTAAGGTCAAGCACCTTGTACCCCTTCTTACCATGTGGATACCCTAAGAATACACAAGCAACAGCCCTTGGATCAACTTTAGTTCTGTGGTATGGGGTAGTAGAAGCAAAACACAAACAACCAAAACACCTCAAAAATGAATAGTCTGGTTTGGACTTAAAAAGAATCTCATAAGGTGTTTTAGAATGCAAAATCCTTGAAGGAAATCTATTGATTAAGAAAGTGGCAGTAAGTAGACAGTCCCCCCAATAGTTCTTAGGCAAATGTGATTGAAATAATAGGGCTCTAGAAATCTCTAGTAGGTGTTTATGCTTTCTTTCTACCACTCCATTTTGTTGAGGAGTGTGGACACAACTGGTTTGGTGAGTAATACCTTGGGATAGAAAGAATTCTGATTGCAATTTACCATTTCCTAACTCAAAAGCATTATCAGACCTTATAACTTTTACCTTAGTGTGGAACTGTCTTTCTACCATTGTTAAGAAGGATTTCAAAGTGGTGAAAGCATTAGACTTAGTACTTAACAAGTAGGTCCAAGTGCCTCTACTAAAATCATCAACTATGGTAAGGAAATATCTAAAACCTTCATGAGTAGGGCTGCTATAAGGTCCCCAGGTATCCACATATATCATGTCAAACACTTCCTTGGTAGAAATGATGCTTAAAGGAAAAGGTAACTTTGTCTGTCTTGCCATAGGACAAATAGTACAAGGAGTAGAAAAAATAGAAACTTTGGAATATAGTCAGATGAAATGTTCTTCATATTACTTAATGGCATATGGCCTAATCTATAGTGCCATAGCTTTTCTTTTACATTTGGATCAGAAAACACAAAACAAGAATTAAAACTAGGACTGGAATGTGAATTCCTTTTGGAAACAGAAAAACTAGTTGACTTAGATAAACTCTTAGAAACACCAGCTGAATGACTTGATTTGAGAATGTAAAGCCCTCCCTCTTCTCTACCAATCTTCATAGGGCTCTTCAGTGAAGGGCCCTGCAGTAAAAAAGAAGAAAGGGGTGAATAAGACATATTTCCGGAGTTGTCTGCATAATTTATGCACAGATAAGAGGTTGAACCTGAAGGATGGAATATATAGAACATCCTGTAAAACCACATTAGGTAGCAATGGAATAGAACCTGAATGAGTGACTTTGACCCTATAGGAATTAGGGAGTTTTACCATGAGAGGTTTAGATAAAGCTTTAAACTCAATGAAGAATTTTCTAGAAAAATACATATGCTCTATGGCTCTACTATCTAATATCCATGAATTGCTGTCAATTTGAAAAAAATAGGCATAGGAGTTAAAAAATTTAGCTATACCAGCACAACTCGGATTGGCTGAAGCATCAGAAGTGCTTGCTCCTTGCTGTCCCAACTTCACTTGTTGAAGAAGTTGCAACAATTCTGCCACATTCTCCTGGGTGAGTGCCTGAACATTTTCTGCATTGTTTGTTGGTCGGGCTCTTGCTTCTTCTGAGTTAAAAACATTGTTTGCTTGCACCTGCCCTCTTCCTTGAAATTTCTTCTAATTTGTGAACTTAAAATCAGTAGGAAACCCATGAAGCCTATAGCACTGCTCTATGGTATGACCTGGCTTTTTGCAATAAGCACAGATCCCATTTCCCTTCTTAGACTAAGAGATACCCTTCTGACCTTTATTATCTTTGAACTTGCTGAAGTTTGCTGATTGAGTAGCAACACCAGAATAAACAGGTGTAGCATGGATTTCCCTTTGTTTTTCATCCTGAATTACAAGGGAATAGGCTTGACCAATGTTAGGTAAAGGTGAGGTTAGCAAAATGTTGCTTCTGACACCAATGAATGTATCATTCAAGCCCATCAGGAACTGCAGTAGCCTTTCATCTTGGTGCGCTTTCTGTGTTTTAGCTTTAGCTCCACAGTTGCAATCACACACACAGGCAGAAAAGGTGTTGAGAGCATCAAGTTCATCCCATAGGCTTTTCATTTTAGTGAAATAGGTAGATACACTAGTGTTACCTTGCACAACAACATTGAGTTCCTTTTGAAATTGAAACAACTTTGCTCCGTTTGTCCGACAAAATCTATCCTCCAGGGCACTCCACAAATCCTTTGCACTTTGGGAGTAGAGGACAGATTCAGCTATATCTTTTGACAGGGAGTTCAACAACCAGGAGAGTACCATGTCATTGGTGCGAGCCCAAGCTTTTTGAAGTCCAGAATCTGCATCAGGGACAACTAGGGATCCATCAATGAACCCTAGTTTGTTTTTGGCTGATAGAGCAATGACAACTGCTCTCCTCCATCCTCCATAGCTCTTGCCATCAAAGACTGAAGATACCAGGTTCATGCCTGGATAATCTGAAAGGTGAAGGTAGTAGGGGTGAGATGAGTCTACAATCCCTGCTGCAGTAGGAGTTGCTGTAGCAGGAACAGCAGTAGTAGAAGCAGTAGAAATAGGGGTTTCAGGAGTACCCATGATTGATTTTGTTTAAGAAAGGAGAATGATGAAAGAAAATGTATTGAAATATGAGCAGATCAGACCTGCTCTGATACCATGTAGGAAATAATGAAGAGCAACGTATGCAAATTTTCTTTCTCTGTGTATTTTCTACTGTACAAAGCTAAGGTATAAATACAAGAAGAAAAGGAATCTAGGCTAAACCAGAAATGCCAAGTGGCATGCACCTAATGGCTAAGTTATAACTGAAAAATTCCTACATTATAACTAATCTGTCAGATAAATACAAGTAATATAAAAATATATTTACAGGGTGTATATATCTTGTTCTCTGATCTTCTAGAACACATGGCCTTGGGCTGCAGTGATTATTTTAACCCAAATAGATAAGGCAGCCCATCATAAAATAAGGCCCAAATCTTCTCCACAGATCAAAGAGCAAAACCGGTCCAAATATGTATGTACAAAGGCTGCTGAGAAATATCGGACATAAGACCAAAACCTAAAAGACTTTGTCTCTCAATTTTCTTTGTCGGAAACTTCGAGAAATCGATTAACACCAACAATATTCCATGAATGTATTCATTTATTTTTTAATTAATATAATTTATGTATTTGGATGTATTATATAATTTCTCTGAAGATTGCTATATTTTTGGGGTGTTTTCGGTTGAGAATCTTTTTTATAACTGGAAATACAAAATTTGTGTGTTATAATTGAGTTTGTTGAGTTATATTAGGAGTCTATTATGTTAATTAATTCACTTTCCATTTAAAAACAGTTGTAATCCCCTTTTTCACGCCGTGAATACAGACGAATACAATAATCTGTCCAGCTGTAATCCCATGTTTCACAGCCCGAATACAGTCGAATACAAAAATCTATCTAGCTGTAATCCCGTGTTTCACGCCTAGAAATGCTATTGTATTCATGAATACAGTAGCTTAAATACATCGAATACACTCTAAAAACCTGAAAGTATAGCTATAGGAAGTAATATAGTAAATGGTAGCTATAACTAGCTAATAACCACTAAAACATAGTGGTTTTCGAAAGTTTTTCTAAAAACAATATTATTAATAGTCTTAATAGTAAGAATAAAGAGTATTTGTCTAACGGCTCAAATATGTCCGCTCCCTCTGACAACTGTCCAGTTTGGCTGTGACATTTGTCATAGTGAAGCCATGTAGACAAACAAAAGATCAAAGTTTACCTCTAAACTATCAAATTAATTTATGTATATATCCTTTGCAATAATTTAAAGTAACCCTCGAATGATTGACAAAGTCTAAATATGCTCCCACGTTTTTACCGTATCAATCAAATTAGACCAATTTTTTCATGGTGAAAAACCTTTAGTGAGAGGGGCACAAATCACAAAAGTTAATGAGTAATATTTGAACATTTTTACCTTTTATTGGTTGGTATGCTAACAAAGTCCAATATTGGTAGATGAAAAGATTGAGAATATACATATAAGGTGTAAATATTTCTTAAAGATGTGAGACCTTTTTGGGAAAAACTATGCAGGCTTGGCCCAAAGCGAACAATATAATATCATGTTACATGTATCTACGAGCTGGTTGAGCCCAACAACTGGTATAAGAGCCCAGGATCGGGATGAGTATGACAATGGCAGACTGATGGCATGAGGCTCGGTTTACTTTCCCTAACGAGCTCAGAAACGCACACAAACAAGAAGAAGCTAGTAGTGGACTTTGTTTGCATAAATACGTGGATCGTGGTGATGGGCTACGTGAAACTAGTTTGATGGGGGAAGATTGTTGGGTGTACGAATAAAATCTTACATTGGTAGATGAAAAGATTGGGAATCGACATATAAGATATAGGAATATCTTAATAGTTTGAGGTTTTTTGGAAAAAACCGATAATATCATAACTTGAGAGTATCTGCGGGCTGATTGAACCCCAATAGTATTTACATAGAATAGAAACCCAGATAGGAGGGTATCTTGCAAAAGCCAGAATTTGCTATTAATAAGAAAATTTATGAAAGTCCCAAAAACTGCATCATTAGGCAATTCTTAATAAATGACAAAATTTTGAGAATGCAGATAGAACTGATAGTTTTGCCTAAAAAATGAAAATAATAGATATAGCTCACATTTAAGATTACAGAAACTAGCGAGAACAATCCTGGATAACACAGATTCTTGAATAACAAGACTGCAATAAGCAGCCCAAGACACAAAACTCTGTGGAAATGTATAATCCTTTATTTACAAGACGCAAGTTTTTGCTGCAAGTGCTAGGAGATATAAATTCTCTTCATAACTATAGAATTCTCAAAGAGAAAGGAAAAAAGAATGATTTATGTGTTGTGTAGAAATAATTAAAAGGTGCATGCTGCTATGGTCTTTAAGTTTCACTAAATTCTGTGCTTAACTTTACACAACAAATTCTTCTTACAAAAGAATATGCCAAAAATAACAAATGAATCCATAATGTAAAGAAATTAACAGGACAGAAAGAGGGGAGGGCCTTAACCGTAATGGTGAACATTATCACCATTCTTGATGGATTTCTCCATTCAAATTAAGTTGCGCGCAACTTGCTCTTCTTCTTTGAGTTGGTGTTTGGGGTTCAAAGTTCGGAGGAGAGGCAATATCGCCATCATCTCTCCAGACCTTAGCTTCCCCGGCTAATTTTCCCATTACCATACCGCGCCAAGGCCAGGCTCAGCGAACTGTCTTCCGATTTGGCAGTTCAGCTGAAATAAATATATCCCTATGAAGCCTATCCGAATTCGACTAGTCAACCTGTTCACCGATCAAGTCTAGCCCGACAAGCAGGAATGATATCCCTTGAAACAGCAAGAAGTAAAAGTGGATTCCTTGAGCTGATAGGAGGCTCCTCACTGAAGCTGTCAACAGCAAGAAAGCTAAGGCCAATTCTTTTGTATATATTCTGTTATGCTTCTTCTTCTTCCGCGAGGACTTTCTCTCTTTCTTCTTAATTTCCTCCTTCAAGTCTCCCAAATTAGGCTCCGAAATACCTCTTTGATGTTTTGGTTTTTCCTCAACCAACAAGGAAAGGTCACCCTCAGAAGAACGTCCTGATTTCTTGGTTACAACCCATTCGTACGCGCTTCCAAGTTGGAAAAGCCCTGAGATCATGGCATTGAACTTGGTCACGGACATAGTGTTTTCGAAGAGAAGGTATGGCACAACGAAAGGGAAAGATTTAGGGGCTGGAAGAATGTTGAGAAATGACATGGTGGCGGGGATGTAACAGACAACCCACGTCGGGAGAGTAGCCTCAGGAACGAACATGGTCATGGGGAGGATTATACAAAATAAGGTGAAAGAATAAAATGGCAGTATCAGCTTCCTTAGAAGGAAGAAAAGAAATATCAAGTTTCCCTTCTTCCAAATGCTTATCTGCACAAACAAAATTAAAAACATAATATAGTCAGACAATGTGCTAATTATCGTACTAGATGGATATTCTTCAAGTGCAATGAAACCAAGTATATACATTTGATTCAATGATGGCAGGCAAACAAAGACGGAATAACTGCATTGGCCCTGAATGCCATCTATGTTGTTGCTTCCGATATGCTTCGTATGATTCTGGTAATTCACACTGGCACTGAAAATCCAAGAAAGTCTTTCAGATTCAAACGAAACAGATACTTGCTAGAAATAATAAGTGACCAAATATTGGTGACCAAAGTGTCTTGCAATGAAATACCTCTACATCATTGAGAAAGATGAATTTCCACCCATGAAGATGTGCCCGAACAGCAATGTCCATATCCTCAACTGTTGTCCTCTCCATCCAACCACCAGAACCTTCTAACGCCTTAATCCTCCATACTCCAGCAGTACCGTTAAATCCAAAGAAATTTAAAAAAAAGCCATTCACCTGCTGTTCCACTTCAAAATGAAAGGCCAAATTAATAAGCTGCAGTCTTGTTAGAAGATTTTCCTCCTTGTTCACAAACGACCACCTTGCTTGAACCAACCCTAGGTCCTCATTATCCTATAATTCAAAGTCAAAGGAGAAAATTATTAAAACAAACTACAGGTAGATCATATTCTACGCACATAAATAATGCATCAACTGTACACACAATGTAATTCTATACGGAAGACCATATACAGGAAATGAAGATCATCACATGGAGAGAATCAAGCTTGGAGCTGGAGGGTATTGAATACCTTAAAATAAGGAACGGTTCTCTTAAGAAAATCAGGTGATGGCTGAAAATCTGCATCGAAAATGGTAACAAATTCGTAGTCTTTGACATAGCTGCAATTCATGGCTGACTTAAGATTGCCAGCTTTGTAACCTTCTCTAATCACCCTATGACGGTATACAATGTTTGCACCATCCTTCTGCCATTTATGCACCTCCTCTTTGATCAACGTCTGAGTCATGGAATCGTCAGAATCATCAAGAATTTGAATCAATAGTTTGGATTTAGGCCACTCCAAACTGCACACAGCTGCAATGGATTGCTGATAAACCTGATACCAATTGCCACCAACACTCAATTTCCAGACCAACAATAAACTTAGAATAAGATTCGACACAACGACAACAACAACAACTATTCTTCAATCCAAACTAATTGATTTTAGCTATATGAATACTTAATATCGATTTCGCTCCATTTGGATCCGTTCCATTCAAATACTCATCAATTCCACAACATAAAGAAAATTAATTTGAAGAAAGAACAAATTACCTCTTTTTCATTACACATGGGGATTTGAACAAGAACCATGGGATAGTAACCATCACCATCACCAGCCTCAAGATCCACTGCACCCTCTTTCAAAACTGGCCTAATATTCTTTATCTTGATCCAGAAACAACCCAAACACAGGATTAACCTATCCAAACTCTGGATAAGAAACAGGACAATGCACACATTGGCCAATAATTGAAGAGCGGGAGCAAGATACTCCACCCTAATTAAAACCCACATGGAATAAAGCGAATCAAACACATCCTTTACAGCTAATGGATTAGCCAATGTGTACAAATGCTGAATTTGAAACTCTGAAGCACTAAAGTGCCAACCTTTATAATATGCAGCTATCTCAAAACCTAACAAGATTAAAGATAACCAAAGGAAGACCTTTATACAAATATAAAACCGGCTATTAACGGTGGAAGAATCTGTTCTTCCGGTAGCAACACGGCGGTGAATAACAGAGCCAAGACTGAACAATGCAGAGGCAACTGAAGTTAAGCAACCTGCTGCTTTATGTGCCTTAAGAAGAAGAACCCATGTGAGCTGTTTTGCATTCTTGTTTTTCACCTTTTCACCTTTCGTTAACAGAAAATCATCATCTGATGGACTTTGTAACTCAACCATGGACCAGTTACTTGGGTTCTCCATTTTCACCACCACAGGGGTACCCCTTTGAATTTCTTTACCCCACCAACTAAAGGATTGTGCCATTTTTTATGCCTTTTTGGTGAAGACGCTTTTGGCAAATTTGGCCTAATTGTGTTAAAGATTAAAACTTTGGGTTGATTGTAGCTCAAATGTGTTTAAAGAATAAAACTTTGTGTTGATTTTAGCTCAAAATGTGTTGTAGAATGAAACTTTGGGTTGATTGTAGCTCAAAATATGTTAAAGATTGGAACTTTGGGTTGATTTTAGAACAAATGAATACAATGTGAAAAGGTACAAATTCTTGCCCAACAAATGCTTGAAGAGACAGTGCATAGGTAAAAGAATGATATTTAAGTGGACATAGATATGGATATATATATAGAGAGAGAGGGGAGGACCAAAAGGGAGAAAACTCAAAAAGAATGAAGAGGCTATGATTTGGCAAGAAAGTACGAAAGAGAGACAGTACTTTTCCTTGAATTACTCACAAATTGTAACAAGGGAGAAAAAGTGTGAGGGAAAAAATAATAGAATGTTGTTGTTATGGTAACAGCTTATTAACACGTCTTTGATTCTGATTCCAGTCTTGAAAGAATGGAAAATCAAAATCAAAAACAAGAAATTCAATAGTTTCTTCCTCTTGTGATGGCGTATGAATTGGATTAAGGTAAGAAATCCAGTTTTTTTCTTTCTTTCTTCAGAGAGGTTTTCTAGCTATATATCAATCAAAATATGTGTATCTATGTACATACATTTATAGAAAGTGATAACAATAGTAATTTTGAAACAGATAATAATTACGCATGCATGCGCTTTTGTTCTTATCAGACAAGAAAAGAAGGGTGGAAGGAGGATGAGATAAAAATGATCCTATCTAATTCTCAACCTTTTTCATTGGCAAAGACACTAGACGGAAAAGAGGATTAAAAAGGATATAAAATATGTGTTTGAGGTTTTCCTTTATTTAGGTTTTTATTAACAAACTCATTATCTTTAAGAAGAATTTTTCCTTTTTTTTTTCTCTTGCTTTTTGTTAAATCATGGTAGTCATTGAATGGCTAATGACAAATTGCTTGCAGTGATGTAAATAATAACGAATTGAAAATGTGCAACTTTTTACAAACTTATAGTAGGTTTTTATGGGGAAAATTCTTACTCAAATATGGTGTCAATATTATCGTAGTTAAGAGACAAATCGAAACAATAATACATTATTATTTAACTACAAAAAATTAATAATAAATTAGTGCAAACTAAAACAAGGGGTAAATAAGTGTTTTCCGTCATTATAGATTGAATATGGCGAAGAGAAAACCATCATTCGAATTATAATTTCCATAAATTAAAAGCACTAATCTCATTGCCATAGAGAGGGAATGGTCATTTCAGAAGTAGTCAATTTTCTATTTCGTCTTAACCGGTTTGTGTTTTTGTTGGGTGTTTTTGACTACTTTGCTTCTTTCACGCTTGGCCAAACAATCACGCATAAAACCAGAACTCGCCACGTCATCATATGAATCTATAAAATTTAGTTGTGGAAAATTTGTGTAATAAATATTAAAACAAAGTCTTTTCTATAAGTGTGGAAAATGTAAAATCGTAATACACATAATTAGAAACTTAGGGTAGTTTGGTCCATGGGATAAGGAATCTCAGAGTCCATTACTTATATGATCACTCAGCTATCTAACATTATCTACCAAAGCCATCTTTATTTCGTTTGTGACACCAAAGTCACTTAAATATGTTTATAGCACTCAAAAGCTCACTCAACTAGATTTCTCAATTTTTTTATCATCATATAATAATTTTTTTCTCTTTTTAATTTATATTACGGACTTACCTTAGAATAAATAAATTTTATTTATAAATTAAAAAAATTAAAATAGTATTTAAGCATATATAATGTCGGAATAATAAAATATTGAGCACAGTAGAAAGTTAATTAGAATAATTTGTTCGTAATACTAATTTTGATATTAACCAAAAAAACTCAAGAATTTATTTACACAATTGAGAATGAAAGAAAATAAATATATATTCCATGCATATACTATAGTAAATAACCATTTAAAATAAAGATATTTTTGTAATATACATTACATATCCTTGAATATTATGCTTAATTATATTATTATTTCGACATTATATATGCTAGAAAAATATTTTTTTTAAATAATATATGTTTGTTCTATAGGCAAGTCCATAATGTTGATTAAAAAGAGAAAGAAATCATAATATTAAAAAGCAAAGAAAAAAAGATAAAAGTTGATAATTTAGAGGTAAAATAGGTATTTGGCGATCAAAAGTTTGATAAATCTAGTTGAGTGAACTTTTGAGCGCTATAGGCAAAGTTAAGTGACTTTGCTGTTACAAATGAAAGAAACATGACTTTGACAGATCATTTCGGATAATTAAGTGACCATCTGAGTAATGGACCCGAAATCTCTGTACGTAAAACGCTGCATTACTTGTACAATGTTTAGTTTCTAGTATATATTCATACATTACTAATATAATCTTCCATAACTAAATTATGCATAATTTAATACCGAAAACAAGGAAGACAAACTGATCAAATAAAGCGTAAAACTATAGGCGAGTCATGTTAGCTAGTTTAAAGGAGAAAAGTAAGCAGGGGAACTCTAGAAAAGGTTCATTTAGATTGCATTGTGCAACAAACATCGGATTCACGTTGGCTAAGTAAACTATATATGTTTTATATTAGCAGCGTATTTATTCAAGATTCTTGCTGGTTTCCTATATGAGTAGGAGTATGAACACATATTGATAAGTTTGAGTATTAACGATAGTAGCCTTAAGCAGTGGCGGACCCGGAATTTCACATAAGGAGTTCAATAAATAATGACGGTAGCTAATAATATAAGTGTTGTCGATTATGACAAGCATATAGTGGCGGATCCAGAATTTTTAAATCATGGGTGCTTAACTATTTTTCATCTTAAAATTGCTACTAAAACTGGGTGCTCAGTTAATATATTTGTATAAAATTTTTATTTTTAACAATAAATAATAGTGTTTGGTTCCGTAAGTAATGGGTGCTCAAGCACCCATAACATATAATGTAGATCCGCCTATGCAAGCATAACCTGATATCTTTTTTTTCTTTTTGTTCTTAACACAATCTCGTCATTTTAAATTTGGGACTCTAAAATTTTAACAAAGTTGAAAATATTTTTAAAAAGGTACAATAGATTTATCTACTTTCTATTTAATTTAACAAAATTTTATTAACCCTAAGATATTTAAATATTTAGTTATTACTAAGAAGCTATTAGTACTTGCAGAAAAAAGAGAGTCGAAAAGATTTCTAAATGCTAAACCAATAATTAGTGAAAAAGAGCTATACACTAAAGCAGAAAATTTAGTATAAGATAATTAAGCATTAATAATAAAATTAAACTAATAGATTATAATGATTTCAATAAATATACTTGCATGTTTTATCAAAATTTAAGAAAGAAGGAACTAAAATTTAATTTGTAGATAGGTTTATTTGATTTATTTTCTAAAGTTGATTAAACTATGAAATAATTTTTTATTGTATTCAAGCAAAGAAAATAAAGTGAAACGGAAAAATTACTAGGAATAGGACATGAGAGTAATATAAATTTAGAAGGGGAAGCTTGGTTGATTTGAAATACAATTTGTCTTCGCCTACTGTACGGTATGGTTAATTTACACACACGCCGTTCCAAATGCAGATAAAATAAAAAATGGAAATATGCTCTGTACAGGATTCGAACCCCGTTATCCAATGTCAATTAAAACCCCCTAGACCAACTCGACAGAAATTTTATTTGGTTTAAGTGGATTCTGTTTGGGTCAAAAATTATCTCTAGTATGATCAAACCATGTTAACATTAAGGAGGCATTCGCAGACTGCCATGTATTATTATCAGTACGACTTCAATAAAGACCCGTCCAAGGTCGAAGTGGTTCTAGAAGCAATGAAGGTTGCAGTCAAAGAGTCAGCAAAGATCAAGGTCGAGAAGTCGACATAGATCAAGGTCGAGGTCGAGCATCCTAGACAGTGTTATAATGGCTAGTTTTAGGATAGGACACAAAAGAGAATATTCTAGTGGATATTCTACCTGTACTATTAGGGTTTTATAGAAATATGTTCCCTATAAATAGAAAAAGACATAATAATAGGGGATAGGGGATATTCATTTTGTAAAAAACATATTGACTTTATAGAGAAAATCTAGCCCTATTACAAGCATATGAAAATAACCTTTTTACTGAGATTCTTGTCTAGCTTTTCCACTTGATCCAAGAACAACCTGAGTGTTCAAAGGCTCATCAATCATTCATCATTATGAGAAAGAATATTTCGCAGATCTCACCCCTTTTCGGGTGACACACAAATTTTTATTTACTTAAATGTCATTCATTGCTATTTATTATTATGTAATGTTATCTTTCATCTTTTTGGATCATTGAATACGGTTATTATTGATCACATTCATTACCATTTGAACAAACATACATCTTATCTGCCATAAAACCGACAACCTTATCTTTTAGATATTATTGTTATCTAAGATTGACTCTATTTTACTTAAATCTAATTGGTTGAACCCAGATCTACATTTTGGGCTAAACAGGTTGGCGTTGTCTGTGGGGACTTCTTAGCTAATATTTTTTTAGTTTCCTTTAGGTCTACAACTCACGTGAGTCCCTAACCTAACAAATCACAAGATCTTTCTCTTTTTTGCACGTACGGAAACTTACATGGCAGGTAACCAAAGAGATAGGACTAAAGTGACAGGTGACTTCCTTGGCAACCTCATGAACGCTATCAACGAGAGTTGTGAAACGCTAGGCGATGACATGACACCCACTATTTCCCCCAGGCGTGAGAGGTCGCCTCCCCTTGCAGCATAACAAAACTAAATGGAAAAGGGGCTTCAACGTCAATAGGAGAGGGTAAGCCACCAGCCATGAAATAGCTCCTCGAGGCGTGGCTGACCGATACGTTAGTAAGTGTGCTCAACAAACCTGCTCCATGCACGACCATAGAGATCGCAAGAGCCCATACAGTGCAACGAGCAGACGAGCGGGATGATCAACCAACACCAAGTATAACTCACAATATTACTAACAGTGCAGGTGACAACATCCTGGCTTCCATTCTAAAGAGGATGGAAGAAATGGAGAATGAAAACAAAATGCTTAGAGATCACATGAAAGAACACCAAGAACTAGTCGACAAGATACCGGTCGCCCCCAAGCTACTGCGAAAGACTAATGCTGGTATAGATTCATAGAACAGTCGTATAGCGAGGAAGCAACCCTACAAGCCATACCAAAGACCTTCAAAATGCTGCCATATCTCAGGATATATGACAGAACTACTGACCCTAAAGATCACGTGGATCCTTACGTCACTGCCGTGAAGGGCAACGACCTCACTAAGGAAAAAGTGTCCTCCGTTTTGCTGAAGAAATTCTGTGAAACTCTCATGGGAGGAGCATTAACATGGTTTTTATAGCTACCATTCCGTTTCATAGAAACCTTCGAGGAAATGGCCGATATGTTCGTTATGGTGCATGCAGGGGCCAAGAAGGCCAAAACAAGAGTAAACGACATCTTCGCCATCAAGCAATCCTTGGGAGAGGGATTGAGGGGCTTCCTCACCCGATTCAACAGGGTAAGGATGACCCTACCAAATGTGTCCGAAGGGATGATAGTCGCGGCCTTTCAGAACGGGTTGACTAGAGAGGGTTCAAGAGGGACCAGAAGATTGCTGAGCCGGTTGATAAAGTACCCTCCAACCACTTGGGATGAAATCCACAATGCTTACTATGCCGAAGTCCGAGCAGATGATGACGACCTCAACGGACCAACTCGACGACTCGTCTCGATACAAGCCGAGC